ACCGTCGTGATCTTTGCCATGATGTGGTACGTGACGCACTTGGCGAAACGCGCCCCAGCCCTGAGGCCCTGGGCGATCGACCTCGTGGGGTCGAAGGGGGCCGAGCACGCGCCCGACTGGCTCGCGCGGCGCGAGGCCATGCACTGCAGCAGCTCCAGCCCCAGGATCCCCGCAGGGAAATTGAGCCTGAGTGCCGTCTGACCGAGCATCAGCCACCCGATCGCGTCGTAAAAGCTGGCGAGGTCGATGAGGCCGTGCCCGTACTCCGTGGACAGGCGCGCCGCCAGCTCCTCGTCGATCGCGCGCAAGAAGACCTCGCGGATCGCCGAGTTGCCGCGTATAGCAGCATCCCAGTGCGCCTCGCACTGGCCCGTCCAAGTGCGGACGTGCTGCTCGCGAGCGGCTGACCAGAGCCGCGCCAGATGAGGAAGCAGCAGGGCCCCGATGGTCAGCAAAAGCTGGCGTGGCCAAACTTGCCGAGCCTCACAGATAGTAAGAAGTGCGGCCAACTCATCAAGAGCTGAATCAGGAAGGCGAGACGTGTCTAACGGAGTCAGACGATTTTCACCCCCATCGCACCACATTTCATGTGATCAGACGCCTCCCGCAGGGTAACACCATCAAGAGGTGGAAGCGCCTCATCTGCAACTCGCTGCCGAATCTCCTGAAAAAAAAGCCCGCGCAGCTCGCTCAACGGCTGGCCAGACGGGCCCCAACGCGAGACCCAATGCTTCCGTTTATGATCCATAATGTCTTTGGGATGCACAGGCGACTTACCATTCACCTCCAGAGTATCGCTGACAAGAGGCTGCTCACGGATGGCCCTGTGCATGGCGCTCACTGCCGGGGCCGTCTCAGCCCAGGTACGGAATTCGCCCATGGCCTGGCTAAGTGCGCGCCGCTGTGCTCGCCGTGCCACCTTATCAGCTGCCTCGGAGACTAACTTGAGCTCCTCCAGAGAGCTCTCACTTGTGCGACCAAGAAACTGCAGCCAGAAATCCCAAGCAAAGCGATCGGAAGGTCGAACCACCTGATGACCGCGCTCGGGGGCCTCCTCCCAAAGACGTGCCACTGCGTCAAGCAGGAGGAACTGCTGCTTGATGCCCGAATCCTTGTCCCTGTAACGCGCCAGCGCGGTCAACGCGGTAGCCGCGCGAGTCCACCAGCTGGCAATCTTGTCCCTGAGGGCTACCTCCCGCGCTGGCTTCGCCTCGTGAACCTCTGTCTCGAGAAACTCGACAGCGTCGCCGCGCGATCTGCCGAGAGGGACCTGCCCGTGATGGAAGTGCACGGTTGCCTCCACTGCCTGAAACCAGGCCGCGAACAGGGCTGAGACGAGGCCTGAATCGCTTGAACAGAGTCGAAAGGCTACGGAGGAAGCAACAGCAGGAGTAGGGGGAGAGGCAGCAGCAGGGAGAATCCCTACAGCTTTCCGCTGTTCCGTCCACAGCTGCTCTGGAATCAGAAAGCTCACGGATTCAGGAGAATCGGGGGACCCTGAACTCTCCGCTGGTGGTGCAGAACCTGACTCGACAGGGGCGGTGCACGGGGCGGGGGTATCATGCTGGACCGAATTCGACTGAAACTGATCAACCACAGGAGAGGCAGGGGCGGTCGGGGCGGCCAGTCCGAAGTTGGCCTCGTGGATCCACGGGTCCTCCTCGCTGCCGTCGGAGTCAGGGCCCTCGCCACCGAAACCTGTTTCCGCCTCGCTGCCTACTCTACTGGGGGAATCAGGCGAAACACAACTACATCGGCGTTACAAAAGTTTCGTCATAAAATAAAAGTAGATCATCTTGCAAAAGCAAAGGCAAATCCCGCCCCGGTGGGATTTCTAGAACCGTGTGACTTTACATCGGGATTTCAAAATGTCCCGTTTTAAAACTATACTATTATAGTAAGGGATGAAATCCCACTTTTAGAAATCCCGGATCTTTGATCCGACCGCTCTTGACTCAGTCCGCTAGGATTCTAGGGGGGAAGGGGGGGCCAGCCCGGCGCGGCCAGGGCAGTGGTCAGCCTCTGCCCGCTTGCTCACGCGGAAGGAAGACACGAAACCCATGCCACCTTCAAGCTCTCATGAAACGTGACGAACTTTTGTAACGGCGTAGTAGCGCGCTCCACTTTACTGCTGCTACAAAGCTCAAGCTGCTCACTAAACCACTGACGCACTTTACAATCACGACGCTCACGTGCTACCTGCCGCGCAAGCCTACGCTGAGCCTTAGACTTACTTGATTTAGACCCTGGAACCGGCTGCTTGGAGGGCCGACCTACAACTGGCATTTGCTTAGGAAGAGCAAGCACACGCGTGAGCATCTGACCCCCTGTGGCTGCAATCTGAATGCCGAGACCGATGCGCGGCCTCCAAGGAACGTCAACGACAGCCGAGACGGAGCGCAGATAGGGTCTCGCTGCTTCATTGAACACCACAAAGTCAATATGGGAAGATGTTTGCTTGCCGCCTGGTGCGCAGGTAAACTCGGCGTCGGAGAACCACACAGAGCCGCCGACTCGCGCCAGAAACTCCGACCTCTTAAGGTCGGCGGAGGAAACATTCCAGTCAGCCAGAACTAGCCACGGCAGGTGGATTGCCGCCAGCATGCTGCCTAGCTTAGCGAAGCGGTTCACATTCTCACTGGTGAACCCCATGCCAGAGAATCCGTAGTAGATGAACACGGCGAGCGCGAAGCCCTTCATGTCCAAAAGGCAAGGAAGAAAACCGTCTAGGACTCCTCCTCGCTCGGCTTGAAGTTGATTGCATGTGAAAGCGGCATCGAGCATGCGAACAGGCCGATGGTTGCGAGCAAGCAACCACTCACCACCTTCATTGGAATGCTGCTGGTCACCTTTGGCATAGCGTGACTTGGGCCTAGCTCCATTGTGGAGCAGGCGCAGGGAAGAACTCTTAGCTTTGCCGGTCCATTTGCGCGTATCTCTCTTGCTGACGTGCGTCTCACAGACGCCTGAGTAGTCGTGCGTGTCGCTGAGCTCCTTTAAGCGCCCCCAGGCCTTGTCGCCCATGCACGTCACGTTGCTGGAAAAAAAAACTTAACAGTGGCTTCTGGCTGCTGCTGCGCACCCATACCACTGCCCCCTGAAAGTGAAGAAAGGGGTGCCGTACTGCTCGAGCCCTCAGGAACAGTCATAGCATCCCCTCCGCTTGTTGTGGCCGAGGATGTAGCAAGCGCAACGGTAATGGCGTCCGAGCCCACAGCGGCGCTGGCACTGCTGGACTCCGCCGTCAATAGCCACTCCTTGCTGCCAGCCTCTGGGCCGCCAGGCAGGCCGGCGGTGGGCGTGGTCGCCGCGGGCTCGCCTCCGCCCGCGCCCTTGCCGTCGCCCTTGGCCTTGAGATCTGCCGCAGCCTGCGCTCTCTGGGCCGCCTCGAACTTGGCCTGGGAGAGCCTAGCAGCTTCCCTCTTGAGCTCCTCCGAAGTCGGCTCGTCGGCCTTGTCGGCTCCCGCAGCCACAGTCGCCGCAGGCTCTGCCGTCGCCGTTGCCGCCTCCCTGGTCTGAGTGACCGCATCCTGGCCCTCCTTCGTCTTCCTCTTCTTGCCCATGCGCTCCTCCACGTCCCTCTTGACCGAGTCCAGCTTGGCCGTGAACGTCTGGAGCTCTGAGTCCTTCGCGGCAAAGGACTCCTGCATGGCCTGCAGCTCCTTCTTCAGGTTGCGGAGGGCGACCTTGTCGGACTCCTCGCACTCCCAATCCTCGAACTTGTCGAAGACCTCTGGGTTCATGTGGACACTGAAGTGCACGCCCTTGCCTGACTGGTCCGCCGCCGCCTCAGCAGCGGACTTGGCGCCCTCTGCTTGGGCAAGGGCACGCGTTGCACTCTTCTTATCAGCCTCTGCCTTGGCGAGGGCCAAAGCGGCCTCCTGCTCCTTGGACTCGGCGCTCTGGAGCTGGCGCCTGAGGCGAAGCACCTGGCTCACCAGCTGCTCATGCCGATGGCTCGCCTGTTTCGAGGCGCCGTCGGCGCGCTTCACCGAGTCCACGGCCGAGACGTCGGACGCCGCCGCCTGGTCCTTCAGCTTCGACCTCTGCTCGGCCAGGACGGCCTTCATCGCTGGATCGTCACTGTACTCAGCTGCCTTGGCCAACAACCCGTCGAGGTTCTTGACTGCCTGGTCCTTGGCGCGCCGACGGCCTGGGCTGCGGTGGCGCGAGCCCTGACCTGGCGAAGCCTGGTGGTCACTCCCGTGGTCGTCGATAAGCACCACGTCGCCGTCGAAGGAGACCCGCCTGTCCACGGACGAGCCTCTCTGCTGGGACGAGTCAAAAAGCTTCACCTGCTTGTCACAGGACAGGCACTTCTTATTGTTAGCCATCAGCTTGGAATTGTACTCACAGTTCTTGCAGTGAATGCACCTGCTCCATGGGCACTTGGATGCGCCTCCCATCGGAAAGTTTCTCCTGTCTTGGTTGACGCCGCCTGCTGTGGGCCCAGCAGGAGGCGAAATCCCCCAAGCACTGCGCGGAAGTGCAGGAAAGGCCGAAACACGTGCCCTGCGCGCGGGGGCGAGGGACTTGGTGCTCCAGCCCAAATTGCTTGAGGGGGGAAGGGGGAGGAGGAGGAGGAGGAGGAGGAGGAGGAGGGAGGAGGAGGAGGGAGTAGGAGGAGGAGGAGGAGGAGGAGGAGGAGGAGGAGGAGGAGGAGTGAGGAGGAGGAGGAGGAGGAGGAGGAGAGGAGGAGGAGGAGGAGGAGGAGGAGGAGGAGGAGGAGGAGGAGGAGGAGGAGGAGGAGGAGGAGGAGGAGGAGGAGAGGAGGAGGAGGAGGAGGAGGAGAGGAGGAGGAGGAGAGAGGAGGAGGAGGAGGAGAGGAGGGAGGAGGGGGAGGAGGAGGAGGAGGAGGAGGAGGAGGAGGAGGAGGAGGGGAGATGATGATGATGATGATGATGAGGAGGAGGAGGAGGAGGAGGAGGAGGAGGAGGAGGAGGAGGAGGAGGAGGAGGAGGACGAGGAGGAGGAGGGGGTGGGGCACGCCGCAGCGGCAGGCACCACAGGTGGCCGCCGCCCAGGCCGAGTCGAAGGAGGCCAGGCTCCAGAGGCAGATGACACAGCTCCAGAGGGAGGCGGCCCGCCCCTTTGGAAGGGACAAAGAAAGCGTGCGGTCTTTCCCCTTGACACCCTCGCTCCGTGAAAAATCACGACAGGAGTTTCTGCTGCAGCGTCTGGTCTCCGAGGGCCATCGCTGGGCCGCGGGACCAGACCCCCAGGGGTCCTGGGATTCTTGTTTCCCTCCTCGGAGAGCGCCAGCTATACGCCCACAGCGATCCTGGCCAGGCCTATCCCGGCCAAGGGTCGACGCGACCTTCCCCGCCGAGAGGAGCCCTGTAGCAAGAGAAAGAGAAAGCGACGACGAAGACACGACAGAGGGCGCGCGGAGGGGGAAGGGGGGGGAGGGGGGCAGCGCGAGAGGGGGGGGGAAATGCGAGCCAGGCGCGCGCACGGGCTCTCAGGGGGCCCAGAGCCTTGAGCCTTCGGGGGGGTGGCCGCGCGAAGTGCCTCGCCGCGGCCGCAACGTCAGCGCCGCCCGCGTGGCGGCGGAACCGCTCTGGCGACGCCGGCGGGCCAGCCCCAGCCTAGGCTTGCTTTGCGCGTAGTATAGGCTGGCGCGGCGTACGCGGCCGCTTGGGCCACGACGCGGCGCAGTGCCGCGTCGCCGAGCTCCGCCAGCTCGTCCGTGAGCCACTGCCTGACCTTGCGTTGCCTGGGGACACCGGGCGGGCGGGCGGAGGCCCGCGCCGCCGCCCAGCGGCCCTGAGCGAGAGCCACTCGAGGGCCAGCTCCCGCAGATCCGCTGCGTCCGCCCGCGCCGCGTCCCGGGCCGCCCCCCCGCCAGGGGGAAGCGCTCGTGGCGCGTCGGACCTCGGGGAAGTGCTCGCCGCGGCAGCGCCGGGTGCTGCCGCCGCCTCGCCTGGCTTCGGCCGCTGGCGTCCAGCCGGCGACGTCCGCCCCAGAGGCATCTGCCGTGGGCGCGGCATCGCGGGCCGTCCCGAGCGTTCGCCCCGTCCGCGCAGGGCCGCAGCCCCGTCGCGTCGGCGCCGCGGGCCGCCCCCTCGGGGGCGCTCGCCGCGGGCGCGCGTCCCAGCCCGCCGCCCGGCGGCGTGGTGTCGGCGTCGCGGGCCGCTTTCTCCGGGGCGCTTGCCGAGGGCGCGCGCTCCGAGCCGTGGCCCGCCTGGCCGGCCGCGCGGGCGGGCCGACGTCCGTCGTCAGCGCCGCGGGCCTCCCCTTTGAGGGCGCTCGCCGAACGACCGCCGTCGTGGCCGTCGTCGCGCGCGTCGGCCCAGCAGGGTTACGGGGAGCTCCGTGTGCTCTCCCAGGTGCCCCCCAGCCCGTCGCAAGACCTGTGGAGGTCGTGTTCGCTGGGGCAGGGCGAGCGCGTTCGGCGCTCGGGAGGCCATGGCCTTGAGGCACCTGCAGGTGCCAGCAGTCCGGCGCGGCGCGCGCGCCCAGTCTGGTTGCAGCCTGCCGCCCGGCAGCGCGAGGCGCCCGCCCGGTCTTGGCCGCGCCAGACCAGGAAGTTGGTGTTCCCAAGTTGCTCCACAGAGCAGGCCCAGCCCGACCGCCGCAGGATCTCTTGGAGACCCGCTGCCGTGTTTGCGCCCGCCGACGCCGTTGCCGAGGCTCCGCCGGAAGAGCCGCCGCCGTCGTTGCGGGGGCGCCCTGCTGGGGTGCTGCGCCCGCCGCCCCCGGGGCCCTCGGCTCGAACCAGAGCCGCTGGCTCCGCAGCTGCCGTTGGCCTCGCTGCGGCCGCCTTCCGCGCCCGTTCAGGGGCGTCCAGCGCGGCCCGCGCGGCAGGCGATGCGGCCCTCCCGAGGAATCGGAGTCGGTGTAGTCATTAGCTCGTTGGGCTGGCCGGGTCGCAGTTGCCGGACTGCCGCGGAGGGGCCGGCGCCGGGGTCGAAGAGCGCTCGGGAGCGCGCAGCGCCGCGCCGGGGCCGCCCTGGCCCCGTCCTTTCGCGCCGGGGGTGGGCGCGGCCGTGCCAGCGCAAGGGCGCCGGCGGCAGCCCAGGCCGGGCCTCCGGGGGAGACGTATTCGCCTAAAGGATCGGCGTGGTTAATAAGTGCTACCGTGCGTTGTAACTATGTGTTAACTATGGTACAAGTCTGTTATAAGGAAGTATACCATATTATAAGTAGGTTACGAACTTACTAACCTCGCGAACTTGGTCCCTCTAATTAAGTGTAGTTGCTCGGAGTTAGAAAAGTTAGCAAGTCTGCTAACTTGTAACATAGGTTGGGCAAACGATGGCGTGTAGGATGTTTCAATGTTGCTATTCGTGTTTTAGCATGGCGTTGCTCGAGTTGTTCTTGATTCCCCCCCCCCCATCAAGAGTGTTCGGTGCAATGCGTTCGTGAATTTCGAAGGGTGCATATTGCAAGATTGTAATGTTCCTTTGCGTATATGCATGCACCGTATAGGCTTTTGGCTCAACAAAGAGGTGGTTTCCACGCGAGGCGTCATGACCTCCAAGCGTGACTGAACATACCTAATGTTGTTGGGGACATGCAGCAGATCAAGACTGCATATGAGCAGCCAGACGCCCCCGTTGTTCCTTTGTTCGAAGAGGTATGCGCCATAGCGCAGCGGAGTGGCATCGATTGCGTCAGGATGGAGAGGATTCATAGCAAATACATGTTCCCGTGCATGGGAAACAGGAATGAGGATGGGGTTGTACCGAGCGATGTGCTCGATCTGATCGTACAGATATTCAGGAACGGTTTCAAGAACTCGGCCCTTCAAAATCCAGCGCGCATGGAATTGCAAACAGGCTCGGCGGAATATGAGAAGGTCAAAGCGTTCAACGATAAGATAATGAAAGATTCTGCTGGTCAAATGCCCATGTATGAATGCGACGCTAAATTCGCAAGCTACACGTGTGGACATACGAGCATGGGGTTGCGATGCTTATATGCAGACGTTCCCGCGCCGCAGAAACAGCCAGAACGATCCGACAGGATTTCGCATGATGGGTTCCTTTCAATGAAGAGGTCGTGGGGAGCACAGCCCGACTACGCAAAGGCTTGCGATGAGGGCATTGAATGGAAGGTCTTCCGGCATGAATTTGTCAGAGCGCCCCTTGGCTTTCAAGCCTTGCCCAGGAAGCAGGCAATGCGGGGCGACAGATCGCGCGTTGCGATTTTCGATTGAGCCTGAACTTCACGATCGCATCCATTGCGAACCGTTCGGCTAACCAAGGAGGCAAGATCGACTGGCCGAGGGATTGAAGAGGGGGCTCGCGCGGGTTCCCTCTTCCTTGGGGAAGTCGACGGATTGGCAACGCCTGCGAAAGAGATGTCAGGCGGTCTGGGCGATCCACTTTTCTTCAGCGAATTGCGGGACTTCCCGCGGCAATTAACTGCCCGGCGCGTGGTCGCAGGCGCCATGGCGAAGAGCCTCGCCGAAGTGAAGATCAGAAACGAGGGGGCTGCGGTGACATTCAAGCCCGCGCGCGTGAAAGCCGCGGCGGCCGCGAGTGGCAAGTGCGACAGGGGCGGCCATCAGACGCACTTAACGCCAGGTGACGCGTCCGCGCTGTCGGGTGACAAGAAGGCCACTATTGTTCTGAATGCGGATGAGTCCTTGCACTCGGCGCGAGAGATCGCAAAGCAGAGAGAGAGAGAGAGAGATAACAACAAAAAAAAAAAAAAAAAAAAAAAAAAAAAACGTTACGCCAGACACGCTCGCACGCGGTGCCATCGCAGGGCTGACTGATGTTCGCGTCGCGCACTTCGCATTCAACAAACCAGATGAACGATTGGGCAGCGCCAAAACGCTGCCACGCATTGGCGCCAGCTTTTGCACTGCGTTGGCAACGCGCGCGGGCAAACCAGTGGAACGCCCATGGGGGGCCAAGGCCGCCCCTGCAGAAGCGCCCAAACCGGCTACAAGCTCGGACGCGAAGGTTTTTTTTTTTTTTCCTGCGGCACGCGCATGGTCCAACCAGTCAGAGAAGTTGTCGGAGAGAGGCTTCGCGTCGAAAGCAAGGCCCTGCTTGGCGGAGGGTGACGACAGGGGCAGCGCGTTCGAGTTCGTTGGGGTCGATGCGAAGGGTGTGAAGTTGATGATCGGGAGCGTGCCAGTGGTTGAGAGCGTTGAGAGCGTTGACGAGCGTTGAGTCGTGAGCACGACTAAGGACAGGACGGCATGCGATCTCGTCGCAACCCGACCTTCAATTGTTTTGACGACATATCTCTCTCTCTCTCTCTATCTCTCTCTCTCTCTCTCTCTCTCTCTCTCTCTCTCTCTCTCTCTCTCTCTCCCTTTGAATATATATATATATATATATATATATATATATATATCGCCCGTTCTCTATTTCATCTGTCTCTCCATGTTCATGCATATCTCATTATCCCTATATATTTCTCTCTCTCGTTCTCCCGCTCGCTCTCTGTCGATATGTCCCCCGCTCGATGTACATTTCACAATCCATTCACCCATCGAGTGCTATGCCTCTCGCATGCCCCCCCCCCCCCCATCCCTCCCAGGAAACAATCGGAACGTTTGCTGGTCAGGGCCCATGCTGAGCGTCGGCTGGCAGCGGTCAATTGAGGAGGCGAAAATCAGAGCCGCCTTGGACGACACGCGCGCCCAGCATTCAGGTTGCTTGATGGGCGTCGCTGGCGCAACATCGCCTGTTAAGTATCGGTCGATCGCTACCACGCGCGCGTTCAAAGCGGGGGAGATAGCGTTTGCCCCACCCACTGCGAGCATCGCCATGAAGAGACCCAACGAAGACTCACCAAACGGGAGCGTGTTTGTGAAGTCATACAAGGACCTCAAAGGCACCATGTTCAACATCGCGTTGCTCCCCACTGGTGGCATGAAGATGCCCAAGGCGCAGGCGAATGCGATGGCAGGGGGGCTGGCAAAGGCCCCTGGCCCCTTAATCATTCCGTTTTGGTTCGCGCAGGAGTCGGCCCCAAAACTCAATGCAAACGTGAAGGTCGTGATCATGAAGTCCGATGCGATGCCGTCTGCGTCTGCGCAGGTGCTGACCAACGAGAGCGACGTCGCGAAGGGAGGCGCGCTGATCGCACCGCTGGCATCGCTCATGCCAAAGCG